CACCCAAGCACATATGGACGCTGGGCCAGGTGTTAGAGTGGTCAGCGGGCCCTGTTCACCGCTCACTGCTCACAGGACGGCTCAGGACCACTCACCTCCAGAGGCATGCTTGGTGGGGAGGCAGAGCTGCATCCTAGCTACCTACTTTATCCTCCCAAACCGACTATTTACCTCATGATGTGTTACTGACCCAAATGATGACATTCAGGGTCTCAGCCCAAGGAGATGAGGAAACTCTGGTATTTGAGAGATGCTCAAATTTCTGTCCTAGAGGACCAAATGGGTGACCAAAATGGAGATTCCTTCTCCTAATCTGTCCTATTCCTGTCTCCAGATGGGGTTGCCTTGATTCAAGGCCTCAGTTTCCCTCAGAACTGAGGCAGTAGCCTATTTGCCCCGCCTAGTGTTCCTTCCCCTTCTGGGCCTGCCTGGCAAACTCCTTCTGCAGAAAAAACTCAGTTCCTATCACCTCCTCCAAGAAGTCTTTTCAGCCCGCCTCAAGCAGTTAGACACTTACGCTCTGATCTCATCCTCTGTCCACAGTAGTTCCCCACTGGACTGCAAGGCACTTGAGTGCACAGGGCCAGGCACAAAGGGAGGCTCCACAAGAAATGAGTGAATAGCAACCATCCACACCCACCCCAGAGCAGTGGATCTGGAGCTCCCTGCCAAAGGGGCTTTCTTCCTGAGCCTCTTTCCATGGGTTCATGTTGCCTCCAGGGACAAGTAAAACACATTTGAAATACAACCTTCTCTAAGGGCCAGGTAGGGCTTTGCATTCACCTGTTGGCCACAGAGGCACCAACACACCCTTAATTGTTTCCAGCCACATCTCTGCTTCCCTCGTCTATAGCTTATCTCTGTGTCCCCTTGTACTGTATGTGTGGTCTTTGTGTTCCTGTTTCTCTGTGTCTCAACCCTTGGGTTCTGGTTGTCAGAATGGAGATTGGTGGACATGTCTACCCCCTCCCCTTCCTGAGGACAGTCTGTGTGGGAAGAAGGCCTCATGGATAGGTCCCTTGATGTTTGGGGCATGTTGATGTTTTTCACCAGAGGTTTGATCAGGCACGTTCTCCCACTGTGTAAAAACTCTACCCACCCATTTCTTTCTTCTTTTTAATATATTTTGTTAACTATGTAACTATTTTCTTCCCTTACCTGGAGACAAATTCTGCTACCACTTCCTTCACTTCGGGATTTTAAATCAACTGTTACTACCATTCAGTTTCATTCTAATCTCTCTAGCAGACCTCACCAGCAATTTTAGAACTGAGCATAACACACTTGGTTGGGTGACACCTCCACGAGATGGTTGGGACAAGCTCATCCAGGCAGTGCGTGCAATGCGAAGAGCAGGATTTGGCATCAGATCTGTGACCTTGGGAGAGTCAGTAACCTGAGTCTCTCATATGTGAAAGTGCTTGGTGATCATACAGTGGCAAATCAATGCAGTATTTTTTTCTGGGCACAAGGACTGGGGTAGGCTAAAGAAGAAATATAAGATGTAGGAACTGGAAAGTGAAAGTAAGTGGCCTCTCTTTAGAGCTTACACCCATGTCCCCACATCCATGTGTCCTCATTTGGGTGTAAGTGATATTGTGCGTGGCAGCAGCTTCTTCATGCCTCTGTGGTTCCTACTGGGTTCGGCAACCTGCCTGCAGGCGCAAGGACAATTGCCATGGCTGCATTTCCCTGTGAATGGAAAGCCACCGGCTTCACCAGGGGGGTGCTGTCTAGGGCAGGAGCTACTCCAGTTGCCATGGCTGGGGCATGGTTCTGTCTGGATAGGAAACAGCACAACTCCTGGCTTTAAGTCCTCAGTATTAACCACTAACATATTAATGAGTTTTTAGTTTTCCTTGTGCTCTAATTTGCCTTATTCTCCACAACCATACTACAAATATCAGTCCTATTTTAAACATCTGCAAACTGACACTGAGAGATTAGCAACTCTGTCCAATATCATGCTAATAAACTGGTAAAGTCAGGATTTGAACTAAGATCCCGATTTCAAACTCTTTCATTTTAATATGAAGGCTCTTCATTCCTGCTTTTTAATCTCAGAAGAGGCATCAGGATGCAGAGGTAGGGCATCAACTAGTAGAAGGGAAGACTTCCCTCCTTTCCCCTGACTCTCCCACTTTACCTGGGCATTTAAGAGTTAATGCCTCCCCTGTATCAGACCTGAGGAAAAGAAAAAGAGTTAATGCCATGATCTGGTAACAGGGAACCACACAGCAACAAGATCAGACTTGTGGTTGTAGAATGCAAGGCAGACTGCTCTGTGACCATTTCTGGTGACAGGTTGTTGGTAATGGTCCTCCTTATTCCATTCCCAGGAAGAAGGGAAGGGCTAAGGGGCCAGGGGCCTGAGTTCATTGTGCTGACCACCACCTCCTCGCTACAGAAAACTCAGTTGTACTTTTTGGATTCTCAGTTGAGCAAGTCCTCTCATCTCAAAAAAGGACATCACAACCTGAAGGTGGTCATCTTGTTTAGGTAATGGGTCTGCCACCAGATTGGAAAGGCCTCTTGAATTTCATTACCCCAAAGCCAACCCAGTTGGGAGAAAGCCACATAGCACAAGCTAACAGCGCCTCAGATGTGGAGCACCTAGGTGTGTCTACAGAAGAGACATCCTACCTTAGCAGGTGACCTCTATAAGCACTTCTCAGGAACCCCGTAGCTACTGTGGAATAACCAGACCAGAGCAAGGGATGTTACAATCTAAATGGCCATGGAAACCAGCCAAAGAAATCAGCCTGTGCAAAGAGGATATCCAAGAGTGCTGCTGCTAACACCCTCATGGGCCATCTGGAAGTGAGGGCACCTTAGATGGTAGATTGCCAGAGAGGGAGGCATTGTGTCAGTTGCCTGAAAGTCGTGGTTACTGTACTGTGTTAAAGCATAGGCTGTTTTGCTGAGGCCTTCATAAGCTGTAGCCTAAGAGTAGGTGATGGTCTCCCCTCAAGGGTAAGGTTGCTGCCAGAATCAGTCACTTGGCTGCTCTCATGGGTTGGAAGGACACATGGAAAGGCCTCTGAGGGCAGTAGTAGTAAAGATTCTGCAAGGAAGGCCAGGGGCAGGAAGAGGGACCAGAGTAGGCCCTCTCAACCCCTGGGGTCCCATAAGAATTAAAACGGGGCTGGGTGGTCACAGAGAGCTAGTTACAGTTGTTTCTGTCACCTCTGTTTAGGTTGATTCATACAACTCTCCCCTTCCCTTTAGTCATATCGTTGTGTATGGTGGTCCTGTCTCAGCTCTGTTCCAAGGAGTTAAGGAACATAGTACATAGGTACTTATACTTACTAACGTGCGGAGTGGTGGGATATCTAAAAACAAGCCACGGGAACTGAAGTCCAGGGGGAGCTGCCCACAAGAAGATCCAACATTGAAGGTTCTGGGCTTGAAGGAGGGTAGCACTTCCTTCGAGGATATATATACCTTTGCATCCCATTCTGAAAGAAGACCTCTGAAATGGAGATAATCCATTAAAAGGGGATCAAGGTGTTTTCCCATTGTTTCCAGGAAGGAGCCCTTTGATAGGGGCAACTTAACAAGAACTATGCTCTTCCAACTGTAGAAGGCAAGGGCTTTATAATAAAGTCACAGGCAGAGTGGTTTGCAGTGTTCTCAGGGATTGGTATTCTGTATCCAGACAAGAAGGTGCTCTGGTTATTCAGATGGAGATTTTCCTAGAATGAAGGTCAACCCCTCAGGTTTCCATATCCAGGACAGAAATCAAGGGAGACCACCTGATTGACAAACTATACACATTATCCCCCAGAAATTGTCCCCAGGAAACTCTTGATTACATTGTTTCATTTTCTTGACAGTTGGAACTATGTAAAATATTTGTCATTAACTATTCATGGTCTTTATACCCCACCCCACTAGAATGTAAGTGGCTTGGATGGCATGGGCCTTGCCTCCCTTATGTGTAATGTGACTTCACTGTATGCAAGGCCCAATAATGCCTGGCACATAGCAGGCCTCTGTCAAATGTTACTGGATGAAAGTTCCCACAGAGTGCACTGTAGTGATGTTGCTCTACCACACAACCTTCTTAACCACTGGTTCTCAAAGGGTGATCCCTTGACCAGCAGCATCAGCACCCCCTGGGAACTTGGTAAAAATGCCTGATTTCAGAACTCACCCCAAACCTACTGTATCAGCAGCTCTGAGAGTAGGGTCCAACAGCTTATATGTTAATCCCATGGGAGATCCTGATCTGTACTCAAGTTTGAAAACTATTCTTAATCACATCTGGGGGAGTACTCCACAGTAAGGACCTAAGAAACCTATGGAAGACTGGTTGACTGTGTATGTCCTCTTATGCTGTAAAAATAATTCACAGTCAAGTTTATAAACCAGTCTTCAGGTAGTTTAGATCAAGGATTAACCTCCATAATCTCCCTTTGGCAAGAATAGGAATCCCGTGAGACCTAGCTGGCTTTAACCTTCTTTTCTACAGGCACACTTTTGTGAGGACCTGGGTGTTCATGTCACGCCAGACACAGAATCCTTTTTTTTGGTGGCTTCATTGGACTCATAAGCATCTTGAAAACAATGGCTTCTTTTTCTGCATAGGGTTTGGCCCTGTGGGTACTCAAAGATGTCCCTGGAGTTTGTCAAGTTTCACAGAATCTTTTGCCCTCAAGGCCTACCTTCCAGCCTGGGGCTGTATAACCTGCATCCTGACAAACATGCTCCAGCTCACTAAGCAAAACTATTACTCCCTTGGAGGTGGCCAGGATGTTCGCCACCCTCTCTGGAGAATTTCCACTCATCTTTCTTCACTTTGACCATGGAAATAAACAATGGGTGAGGCACACTAAAATGTTATGTTCCTTAAGTATCATGAAGATGGTCAGTCAGCAAGGAAGCCCTGAGCCACAGAATTTTAACTGCTGACCAAGATCAGGTGGGGCTGAATTATTTAGGTTCTTCACAGGACACATGAAGAAACTGGTGTATAAATGCAGAGAATGGGACTAGAATCCAGAAATGGTGTTTCATTTATTCACTGAAAAAGAGGGAGATCACACTTCTTCATCCATTTCCTCTAATCTCTCAAAGCTCCCTCCCCTCATTTTTCCAAAATAACAAGACACCGAGAAACACGTTTGTACAAAAACCACATATTATTCCCCCCTCACAAAATCGGGTGGCTGTATTATAGGAATAAAACCAGACTAAAGACATGAAAAGGAAAGTCACCACTTATACTGAAACATAACAGCATTAAGAATTCAGGTACTTTGCAGAATTATTATCAGCATAGTAAAAATATTTCCACCTGGAATCTTTTAAATTTGAAAGTGATCACGTTAAAGACCTGAGGTTACAAGGGACCACAGTATGAACCAGAATTCCATTTTACTTCTAGAACTCCAGGGGAAAAGGTAAGTATTTGGAATGAGTTTCCTTTGGGAAAGACTGGCGAGATGTAGGGAAAACCCTGGCCATTATCAAAGGCACTGGGGTCTTTCTGGAGGCATATGCATTGGAACTAAACTTCAGTATGAATAAGCTCATTCTCATTTCCACTCCAAGAGTCCAGAACAAACATAAAAAGGAACAAGGTCTCCTCGCTTCCAGTATTCCAGTCCTCTGATGGTGACCAGGGCCACCTGGTTAGAGGCAAACCTGAGGGTTTCAAAGGCAAATCTTAATTGTGGTTTTATTTTTTTACTTTCTGATATTAAGGAAAAAAGTTCTAAGGTGTTTTACAAACACCTCCCTACACCCTCTCATATGCAAAGCATTAGGAAATATATAGCAAAAGATGTTTCACCTTGCATTCTAAATAATGAAACTGCCACTTGAGAATGTAAAGTGAAGAAGCCAGGTGCTTTGGAAACCAAGCTCCAACAAAAACACCCTTTCCCTACTTAGGGAAGGATAGAAGGGAAGGAAGGACAGGAAGAGAAAACCAAGACTCTCAAGTCACTCATCAGCAGGGGTAGATATGGGCTCAAATTAAGGCATTTTGTGGCTCTTCCTCTGGAATGGCATTCCACCCTCCCAGCCTGAGCACCTTAAACCTAAAAGCATGATGCTCTGACTGCCAAGTGAGTTCCTTGGTACCCTCATCATCTCCTTGACAACCCTGTGATAGATGGAATGTGAGATCTCAGAAAGGGAAGGAGAAAGTACGTACAAGAGGCCGATGATTCTGTCTCGCTTGTCCAATCCCATCCCAAACCTAAAGTACCGCTTCACGAAATTCCACTCACCCTGGCTACTGCAAGAGGTAGTTTGGGGACTTGTACCCCCAGCCATCCTAACCAAGTTCCATGAGCTAAAGTGTTTAGCACTACCTATGTCTTTTTTTTCTTTTAAAGGGTTTTTTTTTTTTTTAAGAGGGAGAAAAAAAAAATGCACACAAAGCAGTGAATAGTAGGCTAGATTCAGTGGGGGGGCCATTGCCCTAGACTCCTAAAACTTTCCTGCGTAGTCTAGGAACTAAGGAATGCCTCCCGATATTCCAACCCTCAGAGCTCATACTGCCCCCAGAAAAACAAAACACCCACCCCTATCCAACAAATCATCTGCATAGAAAATCACAACCAATGGGCCTGGGGAAGGAATGGATTTGTTCTAATGTTGTGCTCTCCTCTACCATGTACTAGTTAAAGTGGTATGTTCTGCCAGGTAGGGTGGAGGCCCTCACAGTCCTCACTAGGGAATAAAATCAATGAGGTCCTCCTTCCCCATCTCTTTTAATTTTGGTGCAATTATGTGTCACAAAAGTCTCATGAAACTTCACCACCAGCACCATTCTTAGTTCAGATAAGCAGAAATAAGGTCACTTATAATGCCTTAAGGTTTGTCCCCTGTGGCTATCCCCCTTCTGCCCATTACCATTTTTTGGTTCCTATTAACTTAGGATGCTCTCCTTTAAAACAATAATGACAACAGAAAGAAAAAAAGATAATGATTACAAAGCATTATCCATAGAAGTATAAGACAAAGTAAAAAACTACAGGAGAGCAAAAGTGATAAAGACATAGAATACTAATGTTGACAGGACCTGCAGAGAAACTGTCAGTATACCCCTACCCCAGGACAGGGGAGATGCAGGTTATTTTTAGGATGACCAGGACACACTGTCACCACAGGTTTCCCCTTGAGTGTTGGCTGAGGACCTGACAGAAGAAGTGTCAGAGCATGGAGAGGGGTGGCAAGAGGAGTGGGGAGGGACGTGTGCTTGGGGCTGTAAGAAGAAAAATCCTGAAAGTAACCCAAGAAAGCTGAGAAACACAAGTCTTGTCATCCCCACTCCAGCTCATGGCAGTGGGCACGGATGTTCCCTGCATCTTCCAGGCTAAGGAGCGGCCGAGGCTGGTGGGCCTGGAGCAGGAGGTGGAGGGACCCCATCTGCAGATGGCGGTGGTGGTGGCTGCTGCTGCGGCGGAGGGGGATCTGTAAACACATCCAAGAATAACTCGTCATTGCTGGAAACACAAGGGACTTGGGAAAGGGACCATTCAGTATAAAAATGACATAGGAAGTAATTTTCTTTGTGGCAGGCAACCAATGCAGCCTTGTGAGGCACTACTGTCTGGCATTGTGGTCTATGTGGGTCAGTTCCTTCTTAACCTCCAGGCCACCGCTCATGTTACCTACCCTAACCCAAATGGGGCAGTGGGAAGTATCTGAATTTGTCCCACCCTCCTTAAAGGCCCACCCCTTCCGAGTATCAATCCAGACCCTTTCAGAACTGACTTCTATTTTGATTTTATTGTATTTTAATGGTTTTTCTCTACCAATTTTGTTTCTCTAATTAAAATAATAAGCTCCTTCCTCAGCAAGTTCTGTGTCTTCTTATTTTTCTTTTTCCCATAATGCCTAGCCTAGCTGGGCACAAAACAGATGATCAATAACTTCTTGCTGATTAACCATTTCCATCAGGGCCAGAGAGCTTCATTTGAGGCAGCTGCTGACAAACTGGACAGTCCAGGGAGGCCTCCAGAGCTCCTGAACTGCAGTTCTTGGATTTCTGGCCAAAACTAGGTTAGGTCCTGAAGGAAACAATTAGTATGAGTCTCTGGGGCTCTTTCCTATTTCAACTTTAGCTGCTTTGGTGTACAAAGGAACCCCAAAGATCATTTAAGCCAGGGTTTTTAAAACACCTAGATCTTGCCAGAAACAAAAACATATGAAACAAAGTACAACCTTTCTCACTAGTCAATTCATCCAACCCTATACCCAAGAAGTTTCTACCAAACCCCTAAGACTCTTCAAAGCATTTTGAAGCCACTAATCTAATCTCTCACATCATCTTTCAGCAGAGGAAATGAAGGCTTGAAGTGGGGAAGCAACTCATCAATGTGGCTAGTACTGTAGAGCCAAGTCAGCAGCTCAGAATTCCTGGAGCACTCATTTATGGCAGTAAGTGGGTGGGGGTGGGGAAGGTGCCAACTGAAACCCTCCATATTCTGAAGGTGCTCCACTTAGGGCCCTATGGGATGGAATCCTGAAGTCACAAACCATGGGATATCAGCAGGATATGACAGTGATAAAGACCAATGATATTACATCTGCAACAGAATGGCAAATTGGTAAACTCTCTTGATAGGCCAGTGATTTGTGTGTTGCCTGTAAGGTAGCTTGGCAAACATTTTCTTGCCAAAAAAAGAGGTACCCATTATATTATACTGCAACCTCTGACCACTAGCTTAAGGTAGATCATTTTTTCCGACTGCCATGATCCTATACACCCAGCTAAACCACTGTCTGTGCACCTACTTTGTTCTAGCCCCTAGGAGTCCAGAGAAGAATGAGACACGTTTCTGTCCCTGAAACCCACCTCCCTGCCCTGGGAAGCCTCCCAGCATACTAGTGTACTCAAGGCACACCGTAGTCTCATGTAACTTTCGGTAAATCCTATATCACTATCCAACTTTTCATTTCTTGTTTTCCCAACAAAAGCTCCTGCAGGCCAGGAATTCTTATACTTCCTATCTCTCTACATTGTGAATAGGAGCTAACTTTTGGCCACATATGAGAACTTCTGCCTACAGGAGTGAAAAACAGGCCAGAGCCCCAGAAACAACCCTCTGAAGGCCAAGGATGGAGCAGAGCAAGGGCTTATCGCAGAAATGACTTGACCTCTGCACGCAGCCTCAGACAGACATCATTCAGCAGCACCAGGGCTTTCTCCACTGAGTCTGCTGGGACCTCATATTCCTTCTCAACATAGCCCCCAAAATCTCCTTTTTTAGTCTATGCAGCCACTACCAACATATCGAGAATGGTTACAAGAAACTTATTTTTTATTCCAGCTCTAAACTGCTCTCTATTCTTTTCTTTACACTTACCACTTTTGAACCTTGTATTCATAAAAGGCTCCTGTAGGGAAAATAACGAGTAGCCTGATATGTCTGCTGAGATTCAAACTAGACAGGCTTAAACCAGAGTGGGAGAGGAATGTCTTTTTGGCTTCCCCATAGACATTGGCGCTGGGGTAACATGCCACAAAGGCTACAGCACACCAGCTTGACTGAACGGAAGCATTCTGCACTCGTCATCTGTGCACTTGCCCATCAGGGGTGCTAAAGAGCACTGACTGAAAACTGATCTTCTGGAACCCACTGTCACAGACTGCACTGTCCATGGACCTGCCAAACCTAAGGGAGAGAACAAAGTCCTCCTCCTTTATCTACAGCCCTCCAAGACAGACCCTGGGGTAATACATCCCCTCATTGTGCTACTTACACATGCCGTTAGGTGCTGTGAGGGGTACCCGGGGTCCTAAGATGTTTCCCGGCATTGGAGGCATACCAGGAGGGGTAGGGCCACTCCCAGAGGGGTGGATGTTGGCTGCGACAGTGGAAATCATGCGGCCTGGCAGGGGTTGCCCAGGCATCATGGAACCTGGGCCTGGTATCTGACCTGTGGAGGGAGATTTAAAAGTACTGTAAGTATACTAGGAAGGGGTATAGGAAGGAGATCAACTTTAATGTCAAAGACCACCAAATACAGACAAACACCCAACCCTCCAAAGGATATGAAATACCAATAGAGCAATAATCTAATAATTTCTATGTCTAGGTTTTTACCTTTTATTTATTTGAAGGGGGTAGGCTAATGGAAGCAGGTCTGTGGAGTGACTATTCTCAACTCTGAGACTGGCAGGCGGCAGTAAGAAGAAATTACAAAGCAAGCATCCCTAAATGAAAGCACTCATTCTAGATAGTTTGGGAGAGCTGTGTATTGTCGAATGTCTTCTTACGGATACAAAATGCCAAGCGCAGACCACAGGGAATGGACAGGACTTTATAACAGGAAGTCAGTGCACAGTCCAAGGGACACAGCTCAGTCCAGATTGTGCTTCATGCACAAGTGTTGAGGGAAGGTCTGTCTAAAAGGGTACTGGCATTTGTACTGTAAAATTACCATTAAAATGAGTTCTGATTTGAGTGCCCAAGTCTTGCCCACAAAAAATCTCTCCCTACAGAGCCTGCCATGAAGCACTGGCCTGGGAGAATCACAAGGGGAAACACAGACAACTCCATCTCTTCCTATTGTTTTCCAATTAATAATAATACTAAAATACCTCCTGTATTCGGTTTCATACTGAGCCTTTAGAACTTTTTAGTAAACTTTTTCTGTAAAGAGCCAGGCAATAAATATTTTAGATTTGCCAGCCATATGGTCTGTCTCAACTCTGACAAAGTAGCACACAGGCAGTCATAGATAATACACAATGGGTGTGGCTGTGCTTTTATCTATGAACTCTGAAAGCTGAACACATTGACTGCCACACTAGAAAAAAATTTTTTCCTTGGGGCCACGGTGTTTTATTACGAAAATAGAATAAAAACTTCGAAAACAAAACAATCTTTTCTAATTTAATGAAAAATTTGTTATTTTTATTGTTTTCTGTGCGTGAGTTACATGCAACTTGAAATATAGCTCTCTCAGATCCCAAGGTGAGTTACATGTGCTTCATAGGCCCCGGACTCAAAGCTAGTGTTGAGTTAAATACAACTCACATGGCAGTTAATGTGTTAATTTCACAGTTTTTTCATGTGACATGAAACATTATTCTTCTTTTGATTTCCCTCCAACAATTTAAACTATAAAAACTATTCTTAGCTTGTCACCTGTACAAAAGAGCAGGCGATGGGTCAGATTTGGCCCTGGGGTCATAGTGTGGCGATCCTGCTTAGGATATCATGATGGATATTTACTAGTTCTTAAACCCAGTGTTTTGGCTGGTGGGCTTGGTTTTAAAGAGCACCAAACTAAGAAAAATGGTTTAATGGGCACAAATCAAGGTTGAAGCTCTTGTACACAAAACAAATTATACTCTCTACAGAATAAAAAAAGAGAATCTATTTCTTCTACAATATTTTCTTAAAAAAAAAAAAAGAGTCTATGTAGTTTTTCTTGATTTAAATCTAGGGAATTTAGTATCTACGTAAGGCTAACTGTACAAAACTGAATATAGGTTTGTAGACATAGTACTGAGATAGGTGGAAATAAGAAAGTTTGAGGTCCAGTCTTGGAAAATTTGGGAGATGGGACCACCTGATTGCTAACTGGTAGTTAAAATATATACGGCAGTACTGAACATAACTCAGGCGAAGACTTCTGTCATTGCTTAGAAAAAGGTCTGTCTTAAGAAAGACAAAGCTTCAAACGATAACCCATCTATCTCTAGTTTCTATTCCCTGACCAAGGACCCTGAATGAGGTGCGCACCTTTCACTGCAGGGACATCAATGAGGAGAACTCCAATGAGGTATGAGAATTTAGGTTTAAGGGTATATAGTGGTCTTTTGGGGGCTATTTTTTAAAGCAAAATACATAAACACTATGCCCCAGAATAAACAGTTTTAGGCCTTCTGGTTCACCTTTCTGTGTAACATAAAGCAAGAACACAGCAGAGGAGGCTCAGAGGCCCACTTGCTAGAAGACAACTTGGTCAAATCGTCTCAGAGAAAGAGCAGGTGTTGGATCTACTCCCAGGTAGACACTATCACTTTTAGACCACTGATGACCATAAATAAAAACCTCTTTGTGTCCATACCACTGTGCTAAGGCAGAAACAGGCAGTGTTAAAGGGGTGGCAGGCAAATCAAAGAAAAATCATAGACAGAGCAAGCCAAAAAAGTCTGATCACTTTCCAGTTAATTGTGAATAACTTGGGATTTTTGGATAAGGTGTAAATAAAGTGAAAGAAAGGGATTAGGGATAGGACTAATCCTAAACACATGGCCTAACTTGAGTTTAACAATCAGTTAATAATGTTAATGTCACTCCTGTTATTCCTGAGAGATACCACTTATATGTAGCATCTTCATAAACACCACACCCCTCTGTGGTACCTTATCTTATTATGTATTATCTATCATCCACATTTCACTGAGGCTTAGAAAGGTTAAAAAAAAATTTGGCCAGATTACAGAGCCAGTAAGTCCATGCTGGATCTATCTGACATGATTCAAGGCAAAAAGGGCTGGATTAGTTCAAAAAGGAGTCATGTATGCAGAACATGTTGGGGGGACTGGAATGGTAAGAGGACTTGGTGAAAGGTTCTGAAGAAAGACAGACTAAACTTGGACCCGGTTTTCTGTGGGATGGAAAGATGCAAAGCTTTTTTTTTTTTTTTAAGAGATGAAGTCTTACTAGTTACCCAGGCTGGCCCTGAATTCACGGGCTCAAGGAATCCTCCTGCCTCAGTCTCCCAAGTAGCTGGGATTACAGGTGCGCACCACAACGCCTGGCTAGGATGGAAAGCTTTAAGAAGGGATGTGGAAGAGTCAGAGCCTAGAGCAGGGAAAAAGAGCTTCTGCAGAGAAGCACGAGCTATATGAGGTCAGGATGAGGAGACAGAACAGGAGATGGGGATGGCACCCTGCAGGTTCCTTAAGCAGCAGCAACCTGGGTGACAGAGCAAGGAGGAAGAGCGACCATGGAGATGAGAAGGACCAAGAATTTGGGTTTGGTATCTGACTGGGAGTGTGAGGTGAAGATAGGATGAAGTGAAGAGGACACAGGAGGACTTTTCTTTGGGAACACAAGATGCAGGCTTGGCTGTCACATAGTGGAACACGGAGAGATGGGGTGAAGGGAAGGCACAGAACTTCCAGTTTTAAATAGAGCAGTGGCAAACATAGGAACTTACGATTCTAAGAATCTCCACAAAGGTGTAAAAGAGGCACCTTTGTTTTTTAGAAGGTACTGTCCCAGCTCCCTTTGTTGCTCCCTTCCTACCCACATCACCTGCTGGACCATGACTAAAAACAAGGCTTTGTTTCCTATTCTCCAAATCTCTACTAATGATTCTCTAATGGTATTTCAGGTGGTGTGAAGGGTGATAGGAGATAATTTTGTTGTTGGAAGCAGAGGGCCTACTTTTAAGCTCAGAAGTACAAAATTCTAGCCTGGAGACAAAAGAACATTTCTAATGGACTCGTGGTATAGGAAAGCCATATACTAGAACAAGTGATGCAGCCCATGTTTATCAGTGGGTACAGGTTGCCTCCTGCCATCAAGTTCGAACTGGACAGAGGCCTTAAGTAGGTTAGGAAGAACATTTTGCCAACCCTTCACAGGCCCCTCTCTCTTCAGAAAACTGACAGCAGAGCTGTGAAGCGTGCTTTACAAAGAGACCAGAACCAGTATCAGATAAGGGAGAAAGAAAAAGGGAAGAACACACTAGGTGTGTGTTCACACAAGTGATATGAAAGGACACTGTTCAGTTCCAATCACTTCTTGTCTTCACCAGTAAGACGGAGTTTTATACTCTGATGTTTTGAGTAAGGTGTGGATTGTACAAACCCGATTGACCAATGGGCCCAGTAAACATCCCATGCCAGTCAGTAGCCACCCAACACTATCCTCAACAGGGAAGGGACAGATGAACTAGCATGGATGTTAATCTCACTTCCACTTCACCCCACCCTAGACCAGTGTTCTTTGGCAAGTCATTCAGGACGCCCTGAGCTTCAGTTTCCTGAGATTATATTGAGTAAAGCTAAATACCTGCCCACCTTCAGAAGAAGGCCTTCTTGTGCGATCAAGAGAACTGTTTCTTATAGTACTTTATTATGTCACTGGCTCTGCCAACATGGTTGTATGAGGCAGAGCAAATATTCTAGTTTTGTAGAGAGTAAACAGAAGTTCAGAAAAGATAAATGACTTCTTTATGGTCATAGAACTAATGAAGGGAATCAGAAATCAGACCCAAGTCTTCTAAACTCTAAATTCAATTTCTTTTCCACCACACTACTTTGTGCTCAAATGAAACAATTTACATGAAAGGATGTAACATAACAGGTAACATTTAAAAGATTAAAGGTGTATACTTCTATTCCAGGTACTATTTTCTCCTTTATTACATCACCGTTGTGATATTGTTCTGCTCCCTGCAATATTTAATTTTTAATTTAATTAACATATATTTTAGCACTTCTGAATGGTGGCCCAAACAGATATGCACATGTCTTAAACATTGGAACCTGTGAACATAACCATATTTGAAAAAAGGGTCTTTGCAGCTGCAATTAAGGACCTTCAGATAAGATCAACCTAAATTATTGGGGTGGGCCCTAAATGCAATAACAAGTGTCCTTATAAAATGCACACGGAGGAAAAAACAGAATGGAGGTGATGTGAAGATGGAGCAAAGAGAGATGTGGCCACAAGTTAAGGAATGCTGCATGCCACAAGAAGCTGCAAAGGGCAAGGAACAGATCCCTCCCTTAGAGCTCCAAGAAGGAACATGAACTTGCTGGATATTCAACTTCTAGTCCTCAGACTGTGAGAATAAATTTTTATTATTTTAAGTCACCAAGTTTGTGGTAATTTATTACGACACCCTCAGCAATCTATGTAGGAAACATCTACTATATCCTAGGCATTTTACATAAGAGCTTAATAAAC